AGGGGACCCTTGTCCACGGGGAAAAAGGGAGTGAGCAGAATTCCTCCTTGGAATGCTAAAGCATTTCCCACCTCCAGGTTCCTGCCCTGACTTCCCTCAATGATCTACTGTGATTAGGATGCGTACGATAAAACAAATCTTTCTTCTCTGAGTTGGTTTTGGCTATGGCACCTATCACAGGTGCAGAAAGCAAAACAGGGCATCATACTGTAAGTCATTATCAGTCTGAGAGCCAAACTTTGTCTTCTGTCAGCTAGATCTCTCTGAGTATACTCTACATTTTAATTCGCTTCATGGTAATGGATAACTTAATATTAGCTTTTTTTCTGCTGCTACTGTGACCACATATTACATGGGTTTGTCTATGCCTAAACACACAGCATGCCTCTAAAGTCTTTAGTTTTTCTATCCTCTATACCCTTAATATTGCAATTTTATGTATGTAAACTTTCTTAATTTACTTGGGTCTTGTTTTTCTTACCATATTTTAATCTTCGTAAGGATGAGGAATTCATTTTTCATGCCAATTGCCATATTCTTTAAAGGCAAAATCATGTTTGAAATGCAGGAGGCATTCCATTAGATTTTAATAACTGAATCGGTGATGAGAAATATATTGGGGCATGAGAGATGATTTATTCATTAAGAGCACCCGATCTTGCAGAGAACCTGAGTTGAATTCCCAGAACCCACATCGTGGTTCACAGCCAATTTCAGGTAATCTGGGGCTTTAGAAATTTAGAAATTTAGAAATTACTTCTGAACTGTGAGTTTTGTTACAGTCCTTTATATATCTGTCTTCTAAAAAGTAAAACTTTTTCATGTATAAAATTAATTCGAAACTATCTGTTGCTAGCCCCAGATCAAGAATATTTTCATCGGTTTGTATCTCCCTCAACTCTGAATTTCTGTGCCTCTTTCCTTATGAAATGTGAGTATAAAGAGAAATAACCCTGAGCTCATGGTTATATTTATTTGACTTCTTTATTTTTCCCAAAGCTGCCTGAATGCTCCATTATCTTCCTCATCATTTCTATTTCTCCAGTATTTTATTTTTCTAAAGCTTGGGTATCAGTTTTAAATATAACTAAGCTTATCTGCAATGGCACAGCCTAGGACCCACACCAGCATACATTTGCAGAAATGAGCTTTTGACAGTTAGCGGGGTTTGTCATTATCCCCAAGTCAAAAGTCCCTATCCAATTTTCCTTCCACATCCTGCACCAAGAGGACATTCAGATACATTCTTTTGAAGAAAATTAATGTTCTAACAACCAGGTACTTGTTGAGTTCTTTATTCATTCATATCAGGCACCTCACCCTTGCTGGTTTGGGAATATCCATCGTCCTTACATATCTGCTATCAAGGCATTTGAAGATCAGCAGTTATTCACATTCAGCAGGCAGGCATGGTTGTAATTTTCAGAAAATACTTAGTTTGGGGAATTAAACAAGTAATATAGAATGAAATAGTCTTATTATATTTTGTTATATTCTAGTCAAGAGTCTCCATACTTTATGGCTATTTTTATAAGCAGATTTTACTCAAGTTATCAGAATAATCATACTTTCTTGACTACATAATGACTAGAAACATTATCTAAGAATGATTACGTATGAAAAATAGCATGAGCAAATGAGAGAAATTTTAAGTGAAAAAAGAGGGATAAAATAGTTACTTGAAGCTTAATTAACTGACACCTTGATCATGGGTCATTTGGTTCTCTTGTTTCACACTCCCATTAAGAATAAAATCAGTTATGAATTTTAATTTAGGTCTTAAAGGCATTTGACTATTCTTTATATAGTAATACGGATATACTAAAGTTTTATAACAGTAAATCAATAAATTCCTTTAGGATTCTCACATTAGAATTGTGATTTCCATATTTCTGTTTTGAGAAAAAGCAGAAGTCACACTTCAAAGTACTAAACCAGGAAGAGATTTGTCTGAGAAACTGGCTCCCCCAGTTACTCTGCTTTGTACAATTAAACTCAGGATCATGAGTTTCGTTCCTACCATGTAAAACATTGGTAGAAAAGGAAAGAAGTGGGAGTCTGCTTTCGATTTCAAACACCTGGACCTCTTAGAACTCAAAGCTAATGCCCTTCCAGTTTTCCTGTAGGATAAGCAGTGTGTAGTCCCCTTAAGTCTGCACTCTGATGGTCGGAGCTTTCACAGAAGTGGGGTCAGCATAGGTAAATTTGTCTGTATAAAGTGTATGCTTTCTTAAGAACTTTCAAAAACTCAAGCAGAAATACCAAGAATGGCTTTTCAATAGATTAAACCATAACACACTTTAAACTGAAGAAATCACTTGCAAAATCTTCATAGTTTTGTTTTAGAACTACTTGTGAATGTAGAACATCTTTCTTTTATATCTATTCAGTATGGAATTACAAGTTTTTCTTAGAGGTGAATACAAATCAATCTTCTTGAAGAATTTCTGTGGGATGTGATAAGCCCCAGCTTTGTGATCAGCCCTTTGAAGTTATGTTTGACATTTTGCAAGCCACTTAACCCCTTTCGAGCTTCTGTTTCTCTTCTTTGCAAGAGCACTGACCACCCACTGAACCTGGGGACCTGTTGTAACTCTACAGAAATGTGCCCAAACTTAAGGTGAAAATGTCAGAGAAATTCCAAGGAGGCGGTGTGGTCTGCTGTGGAAATAGCTCAATTAACCCCGGGAATCCCAGGTCTTGTTTTGTTCTCTTTGTGGCAGTTATGTGGCCTGCCTGTGAGAGGCTCCTTCATCTCTTAGATGCTCAGTGGTCCTCACAAGGAAACTCCGGCATCACTCACCATGCAATGCCTCTTAACTGCTCTTCTCTACCCACTTTTCCCAGCTTGTATTTGTTTCTTAACCCCGCACCCCCCAGCCCCCAACCCCCACATAGCATCAAATGTCTTCTCTCCATTTTCCTTTCTTATTTGGGTTTTGTTTGTTTTTGCTTTTGTCTTTCTTTTTTAGACTTTACATTATTTATTTTCAACAAATTTTTTATTGATTCTTTGGGAATTTCACACCATGAACCTTAATCCCACCCATCTTCCAGTCCCTACATATCTTCCACTCACCCCCACCACAGCATCCCACCCAAAGAAAAATTTAAAATATTAATTAAAAAAACAACAAATAAACTTAACAACAATACCCCCCCCCACACACACACACACTTTGCTCCTCCGTCTTTCCTGCCTCTCCAGTATCTCTTCATTCATCTTAGTGGCATTGGGAGCTGTGGAGTGTCAGGCAATACACCCCTTTGTCCATTGAGCTTTACTTGCAAGCGATAATTGCAGTAAGCTGTTGGTATGGTTCAAGGCCTCTAGCTTCTGGTACACCATCAATACTAGAACCTCACTGAAATTCTCCTCAGATATCCAGCTGTTGCCCTGACACATGGAGATCCTGTGACTGTGGTTCAGCATGACCAGTCCCTTCAAGCACTCTGGAAAGACATAGATGGGGTAGACGTTGGGGTGGGCCAACTCAGAACTCTAGATGTGGGTCTAGGAGGTAGCTCATTTGGTCAGTCTGTGCCACTGGGACCATGCCCATCAGGCAAAGTAGAGCCAGCCCTTTTATGCCATGGAGTCAACCACGGGAGTGTTGCCAATGGAGCCAGCTCTCTCATGCCTGTGGTGAGGGGTGGGACCAGCCATGGCAGGATCAGCTCCCCAGGGCCAGTGAAAGGTTGCACTGGCTCAGCCCAGCCCTCAAATTTCAGCCCCTTGTGGTGACATGGGTCATGGAAATCAACACAGACTCCAGCTGCAACAGGACTGTGGACCCAGACAAGGCCCTCAGCAACCACTTAGGCTAAGATGTTACCATGGCCCTGGTAGCAGCAGGCAACCATCAGTAAGGCTCTGATGCCCTCAGTCATCAAAACTGGTGGCTGACCAGACCCTGGGCATCTGTGTGGCCTTTGGTGGCAACACAGGCCATAGTCATCAATACAAACCCATATTTGGACTTTTAGAACTGGAAAAAATGTGAATTGTTACAAAATTCCCACACTCTATTCTTAGGAAAAGTGGCATGGAAATATTAATCATAAATAAAATTACATATTTGCTGAGGTGAATTAAATTGTTCTGCTTGTTTTCTAAGTAATATACCAACATAAAGTCAAATTTATTAATTTCCTCTACTTAGTGTTTCTCCACCTGTTCAGACCTTGTCAGAAAGGTACTGAGCCTGACCTCCATGTTATTGTAACTACAAATGAAAAAAAAATCTGATTTATAGGTTGCCATTAGTTGGATGGTATATTAGTCAGAGTCCTCTAGTGGAAAAAAACTGATTGAATAAATCTATATATCATAGTCACTTGAAATTCAAAAGGAAATACATATAAAACATTTAAATCTTTTTAAGAGCCAACACAATTGAAGGAGGGCTTTGAAAAATACCACGATATATAACTTGAGATATGCAAGGAGGCACTATTTATATTGTAACTTGTAGTAGGTGCTTCTGATCTCGTAGATTCATTATAATGTATGAGTAAATAAAAGCAGATACACAAGGTTATCATAAAGGTGAGAGAAGCTATAAATAGTATTTGAAAATGCAGCTGTCAACAGGCCAACCTACAGAGTTTGAGAGGTGATGAGTACAGAAGACAGTTTCCCCACACTCTTCATATGAAACAATGTACCTGAGAAGTTAAAAATTCTCTCAGAAACAAGTTGCTGCAAAAGGATGTAGGAGAAGAAACATGGGGGTTACTCAGTGGAAGGCTCCACTCAGCCCCCATCCCCAAACTCCTAGACAATGACTTGTGGACCACCATCTTAACTGATACTGTCATCTGACTGGCCCTGCTCAGTGGTTTCAGATGAGGTCTTCATGTCCTCTGCAACGCTCAAAGGGAAAGCATGTCCCCAAAGAATGACAATTCTGTTCCCCCAAAACTCACAAATTTGCACTGAGTTATCACGTGCGAAATAACAGCAATTTTTACTGACATTACATTTGTAGTTAGCACATTAAGAAACATATCCAAAGAAGATTAAAGTTTTTAACCAGTCATTTTGTCTAGAGATTTTACTTTTCCCCTGAAAGTAAGGATGTTTTATTGGCAAGGATCACACCATGTTTATTCACAGTAGTTGCTGGCGTTATGCAGATTTCAATGACTCAGAGACAGCAAGAAAATTGAAAACCAGCTAAAAACAGGAGTACGTTTTCCCACAACTCCTGAAAGTTCCGAACTTCCTAGTGAAACAATGTCCATGCTGTTCAGAGAGAGAGAGAGAGAGAGTGAAGTAAATGATGGCTGGATAAATGCTCTGATCACAAGTGCAGAGACAGAACATGTCAAGACATAGGTCATCAATTAGTAATCCACTTATCTACACTGGCTTAGATGCACACAAACCCTGTGTATTCCAAACATATATATCCCACAGATAAATACACATTCTTTGCTACTCATTTCAATTATTTAGCTCTTTAAGTCAGCATGAAGAATCATTATTTTCTTTGTGCAATGGAAATTATAGTTCTCAGATTACACAAGACTTTTGCTATGGCAACATCGTGGTTACAGATAGAAACAAGCCAAATCTTAAGCTACCAGAAAATATTTAACCTATAATTGCAAAAACCCTAGAGCTATAATGGGTATGAACAGCTAAAACAATGATGGGGATTGGAAAATTTTCAAAACTATTTTTGGAAGGAGACTAGCCCCAAAAGACACAAATCGGGGCTGGATTCTCAGAATCCACAGCATGAAAGGAATTGGCGGTACATGTACCACCACCTCCAATAATAAATAAATAAACGTTTTAACAAGTATTACAAAGACAAGTATTTATGTAAGCTTTCTGCATTTCAGAGTAGCGGTCCATTATTAATGCCAGCTCAAGGACAAAATAAAATCTTTTTGTCTGCTTTGCTTAGTCATCGCTTTCAGCATTCCTGGTTTAATTTTTCTTTATGTGTTGGTAGCTATAACATAAGGTTTAAATAAATTGATCTTTTATTTATCTATTTTTACTTTTCCAGTGTGTATGTGTGTGTGAGTGTATGTGTGTCAGATGCCTGTAAATGCTCGTGTGTAAGAGGGCACACTCACAGAATTGTGGAAGCCAGAGGTTAGTGTTGGGTGTCTTCCTTTATTACTCTCCACCTTTAGTTTTTTGAAACAGGGTCTCTCCCTGAATCTGGAGCTTACTATTTCGACTCTACTGGCTTGCTTGTGAGAACTCATGACCTGCCTGTCAACGCACTTCCAGTGCTGTGCTGAAGATGTGTCCGATCACAACTGGCTTGTCTATAGGTTCTGGGGATCCAAAGGTACCTCTTTCTGCTTACTCAACAATCACTTCACCCATTATGATATCTCCCGAGTCCCTTCTAGAATAAGTCACTAACAAAGAACGAATTACCACCACCAAAAATGACATTAAAAAAATCCAAAACAACTTATTCTGGGGAAATCCTTCATAGAACATTACAACCAAGAACATCAAAAGGACTAAAATCCCTCATGGTGATCAATAATGACCATTGTATATTTGAGTTTTTCTAGAACTGGACTGTGCAATTTGGCAGCAGAAAACAGCACTCAAATTACTGACTTCCCTTTCAAGTTGGCTGTAAGCGCTTCTCTAACTGTTACTGCCATTGAGGATTTGTCTGCATATTTGAGGAGGCGAGCCAGGAAAAATAGTTATCTTTGCCCAAGAACATAAGTCTATGCAGTGTCTTGAAGAGCTGGGGAAATCTAAGTGAGCTTTGGGTTTTGCACTCAGCTTAAATGTGACCCATCTGGTGATTCTGCTCAATGCCTTTCCTTAAATAAGGATTCCTCTGAAGAGTGCCTTCTGCACACAAGGCCCAGTGTGCTGAGATCTCTGACCCATGTAAATGGACTAGAGCTGCTCATGAACCTGTGGCTTGCTACCAGCCAGTCAGGACTTAGAACAATAATTACATCTTGGAAGGTTTACACAATGTTCAGAAATCATTCCCAGTACAACAGACAGAGAATTACCCAATAGTAAAACAAGTTTTCTGACATGGTGTGGCTCTAGATTCAGGAAAAAAGATACATACTTATTGGGTAATAATACATTATCAAATAGTACCAAAGGCCATAGGAAGTAGAAGGGTCCATAATATGAGCATTTCACTGAAAATTATTTAATGTGTGTTAGGGAGGTGATAAATCAAATAGGTTAATCCTCCACTAGCATTTCAATTAAGGAGAGCATGAAGCAGGGTTGGGACTGGAATGGGTCAGCCTAAGGTTGGCTCTGAGATTGGGACGTTCTACTAAGACTCCTTTGCTGTTTTGGAAGCTGCAAGAGGAGACAGGCCTGTTGTCCAGTGCCTGGCATGTGGTCAGGGCTTTCTCTGTATTTTAAGGTGGTGGTTACTACCAAATAGAGCTTGCATTTTAAAAGGCCCCAAGAGCACATGATCATAACAAAATATATTCATAGGAAGAGAGGGTGAACCATTTGAAGTACAGGTGTATGAGGTCATGGGTTACATGCAAAATTTACTATATTTTTATTTCATTTAAAACAGTTCCTATTTGGTCTTGGGGGTACCTATTTTACTTTATTTACTTTACTTTATTTACTTTTATTTTTGGATTTTCGAGACAGGGCTTCTCTGTATTGTTTTGGTGGCCATCCTGGAACTCGCTCTGTAGACCAGGCTGGCCTCGAACTCACAAGGATCAACCTGCCTCTGCCTCCCAAGTGCTGGGATTAAAGGTGTGCACCACCAATGCCTGGATGGGTGGTACCTATTATAACTTTCATACCATTTTACTTTGGTATTAAAGTAATGCAGATGAGTACTTAAAACCAAGAGTTGAGTTCAGGAAATTCTAATTTATTAACAGAGCTACTAGATCATCTAACCTCTCTCCCATATTCTGAAGTGATACTGCAATAAATTACTTTATCTCTATTTATTCAGTTTCTTATATAACCCCACTAATTTCAGAGTCTGTTTAAGTCACATGTTTTTCAGGAGACCTCACACATCCTTCTTAAATGTTCAGTATGAAAAAAAAAAAGCTCTTAGAGGGTAAACAAAGAAATATCTTGCATCCAAATTCTTTGACAATGTGGAAGTTTTTTCTCTCCCTCTTCATTAAAAATGTGCACAGTAATTGTTAGAGAGATGGCTTGGAACTTATTTTGCAGAAGACGTGGGTTCAGTTCCCAGTACTTATATGGCTGCTCACAACTGCCTGTGACTGCACTTCTCAGGACTCCCTTGGTCATCTCTGATCTCTGCATGCACATGATGTACATATGCCCTCTCAGGCATGACACGCATAAATCTTGAAAAGTGTTTTTGTGCACAGTAGTGTGATGCTGTTTCAAAAAGATCAGGAAATGTTAACTAGTTTTACCGTGCTCATCGTCATATTGACTGATTGATTGATTAATCGATGATCCACTGAGAACAAGTGGGACAAGGGATCAAAGCCAAGGCCTTGAACACTAGGGGTGAGGTCTACTACTCAATCTTAACTTTCCCTTTATAAATCCTGTGCCATCTATTGTTATTTTGAGCACCAAGACTTAAACAAGTGACTTGGGTGTTAGTCACACATCAGTACTTGACAACAGGTTAGATTCTTGGCCGTTTATTTGTATTTGTTTGTTTATGTCAGTGAATACAACATGTACCACTGTGTATAAATGAATATGAGGGGACTACTTAAAGGCCTTAGCTTCTTGCTTTTACCTTGTGTGTCTCACAGATAAAACTCGGTTCTTCAGGCTTCGCGGTAAGTGTCTTTACCTAATGGAACTTCCTGCCATCTCACTATTATTTTAAACATCTAAACAAAAATCATTGCTGTACCAATTGCATTTTGACTGGTGGCATTTTAATGACACCAAATTGTCACACATTTGACAGAGATTATGCAGGATTACCATAGACTCACTTTTATGAAATATTTGACTTGTAAGGGGTATTTATTATGTGCAATACTATTATGCTGGCTTCTATTTTTAGTGATAGTGATGGGGGGCAGGCATTTTCAGACTTCCTCTAAGGAAAGCCTTGTTTCCCTCTGAAGAGGAATGAAGGGTTCCTTGACAACTGTAGGTAGGTTCTATCACTGGTTGGGTCTACAAGATACTTGGTTCATAATTATGTTGAAAGTATATAATTACTTAGGACTTTATATGGTATATTTATTTGCAGGTAATTTTGTCCCTGTCTTCATTTGCAATTCTGCTATTTTGTTTTTACCATTCAGGGTCTTGAAACATATCTCCTATTGTCAGAGACTGAGCTGTGACTAATCCGTACATCACTTGTTAAGCCCTCAATGCCCAGGGTGACAGTATATGGCCTAGAACATTAGGGTGAATATAATGTTAGTCCATATGCGTGGTCCTAATCTGATAGGATTGTGAGGTCCTTGTAGGAAGACTAATGAATGGGTTTCATTTTTTTACCCAAAATATAACATATTAGTCCATGGAAACACATTTTTATATTTGGAAACACATTTTTATGTTTCAAAATCACACTTCCCTAGGCACTGGTGTCTTTCTTAAATCCCTATTTCTGGCCTAAAAGATCTTAAAGGGCAGTCAGTTACTCTTTTCTTGGGAGTTTCTGGACCCTGTTCACAAGAACAAGAATAAAGTGAGAAGAACATGTGTTGGAGGCTAAAGTTTTACTGTATAGAACACCATGACTAACAGTGGAACAAGGCTGTCTCTGACTTTTGAGACTATATTCCTCATACTGGGTGGCTTTGCCCAGTCTTAATACGTGGGGAGATGCATAGTCATACTGCAACTTGATATGGCATGCTTTGTTGGCTCACGGGAGACCTGCCCTTTCCTAAATGCAATTGAAGGAGGAGTGGATTGGGGTGTGGGAACAGAGCGGGGTAGAAGAAACTGGGAGGAAAGGAGGGAGAGGAACCTCTGCCCAGGATGTAAAATAAGTAAATTTATTGAAAATAATTCTTAAAAAGCAGTAAAATAGTATAAATTCATCTTGCCACTTACTTCTAAAAGAGCATGAATCTTCCCTAATAATCCATGGGAAGAAAAACTGTAGGTACTCTGCTACAAAGATCTTCTTACCAATAACCAATGAAAAAGCAGAGTCATTTTATGTGGTGATATCATTCCTGCACAAATAAAGCCTGTCTGGGGGTCAGAGAATGGAGCTTGTCACTAGCTAACCATAGAGGTCTGGAGGTCTGTACAAACCGGCAGAAACTAACATAGCTGAGCAGAAACAGGATATAAGCAGGGACAAACAGGAAATTGCTGTCTTCTTTGCTGAGACACTTAGGAGGTAAGTTGTGCTGTGACTTGCTCCTTCTCTCTGATCTCTCAGCATTTCCCTCTATCTCTGACTCTGGCTTTTATTATCTAGACCAATTAAGAAACCCATTTCACAATTTTATCCCAAGAAAATACCTGACCTTTATTTGCTCCAAGTTGAATTATATAACACCAAGATTCCTAGTTTCTCTTGTATCACATTATCTCTCTGCAAAAGTCTCTGTCGAATTAAGAGGCAACTTCCCTAAGAGAAAAAGAAGAGAGTACTAAGGTAGCAATCTCAACTATTAATATAGATCATATCAATTTCTAGAAGTAATAATGATCACTGAAAATTGATATTGTAACACTGTGCTATGTAACAAATGTGTTTGGGGTATAATATTTATGTTCAAGTATCTCACTTTATGTAGGATGCTTGGCTATTAAAACACCATTTATCTCAGCCACTTTCAACTGTGATACGGATTTTCAGGATTTAATAACATTAACTTCTCAAAGTTCTTCAAGCTAGGAGTACCATATCAGGGTTCTGACCATTTGTTTTATCTAGACTTTCCTACTGGTTTGCAGATGGTTGTCTTCTCACGTGACAGAGAAAATATCTTTCTCATGTCTCCTCTTATAAAAAAATCTATCCAAATTCAAGGCCAAGTGTTCCATAAAATGTGTCATCTTCAAATTTCATGGCCCTGAGGATTAGTACTTCCAAATGCATACTTGAGGGACAACAAAACAGTTGTTCATGAATCATTTTCAGAAACAGAGACAAAGCCATGACTTTAGTAGGTGCTTTCCTTGAAGTGAGGATGGAGCTATTGCTCCCACCAAGCTTTACTTATGTTGAAATATTGACCTTGGCTTTCTAAAGGAACATTTGAAACTCTTACAAATGAAGTGAAATGAAAAGTTTGAGTTGATCTCAAGATGAGAGTTTCTATGGGTTGTTCAAAAATACGCACAAGAGATGCCATGACCATGAGGCCTAGTGGAATTTGGAGCTGTCAACAGTTTAAATGTTTCAAAGGCATCTTCTCTGGAGACTTTCATAATCTGAGACTTTTACAAGTTACCAACTTCTCAAACTTAATACGTCTTGGCCAGAGCTCCTGAGTAGACATTCTCTTTGAGCTTACAAGCTAATGCTGTAAAAGCGTTTAGTTGCTAAGAGCTGGAAAGGAAATGTCTTTGGGCTTGGAAAAGACAAAATCATTTCTATTGAAATGTTGAACAATCATATGATCTTCATTTACCTCAGGAAAGTGAAACCTCAGATTATTTTTTCCTTGCAGCTAAAGTTCATACAAGTTTCACTTATTATTTTCAGTACAACAATAAATTTGTAACTTAGTTATACGGCTAATGTATAATCTATGCATATAAATATTAACCAGGCACACATGTTTATACATGAATGTATATATGGCTGCATATATCTAAATAAGTAAACGTATTTATCTTCTAGATAACAACAAATATTTGTTTGACATCAATTTTTTCTCTTGTAAAATTTGATCATTATGTTTCTGGGAGATAATACTCGTGTTTGAAGATAGTCTCTTCAAACATGGAGAGTAACAGATTTAATTTCTTGGTACTAAAATGTTCAAATTTTCTGAATAATTAAGTAGCCCATGTATATGTAGATACGATTCACTCTGTTAACTAGAGAGAAGCAGAAATATGTAAAATGAATGCACATTTAACATCAATTAATTGTTTTTAAGACCTCGGTTATATTATTCAGTTTATAGAGAACAAGTCTATGGGTGTCCCATTAATAACCAATGATTAAATGGCCAATGATGAAAATTATAAACTAGGCATATATTTAATTATATCCAAATATTGATCATCCTTTGTCACCAAGAAATAATTATCTTCAGCATCCAATTCACATGTGTATTGTCAATACTGTGAAAATTCTATATTTTTGTTTTAAAACATAAGTGAAAAACAGAAATTTACAAGTTAGGACAAAGTTGGTAAAAAGAAGTACTGAGTAAATAATTGTACTGTGTTTAATATTATTTACATCTTGGAACCATCAAAACATCAATAATAATTGCATTTTTCTCTGTAGAAATAAATGTGCTCTTTTTTTGGTGGGTAGTTTAAAACTGTCTTTTTGACAGTTTTTAAATTAATTTTTATATTCCAAACCCTGTTCCCCCTCCCTGCTCTCCTCTTGCTCCCCCCTCCCTTCCTCTTATCTGCTCCATAGAGAGGGTGAAGCCTCCCCTAGGAAGTCTACTAAGTCTGTCCCATCAGGTGTATGTGTGTGCTTGCATGAGGATATACAGTTTGTTATCAATGGTTTACTTCAATTAATGCCTACCTTATTCTTTGGTGCAGGATATCTTAGCTGAGCACAGAAGCTCACAACTGTGGCTATTCTCACTAGCCAGCTTAATTTGAAGATCCCTTCTACTTTGCAAAGTTGGAGTTAGTAAGCAAGTTACCATACCCACATGGCTTCCACATGGATGCTGAAGATCTGAGATCACATCATCATGTATATATGACAAGTGGTTTATTCGTGGAGACATCTCACCAGACCCTGTAGTTTGTTATTTATTAATGTACTTGATTTTCAATACCTGATCCCTCCAATAGACTTTGCTACACATAAGGACACATTTAGTAATTTCTAAACTCTTAGTCATATAATGCCTACTTTTTGTGTCATTATATAAGGCTGTTGTCAATTCTTAGGCATTTATAATGCTCCAGATATTTACCTAGGTGTTGATATGTATATGCACAGAACAACCTATTAGGAAAGTAAGATTTTATTTTTAGTCTTCAAGTAACTAATACAGAAAGCCAATCTTAAGTAACTCAACTTAAATCATTTTCTTTCTTCTTTCTTCTTTTTTTACTCAAGACAACAGAATATGATGCAGGTTATTTAATTCACTACTCTTAGTTTTATTAATATTTTATATTGATACATAGATCTCTGATAAGTTTTCAACTAATATTTTAAATGAATAAAGACTAAGGCTAATGCTTTTGATTTGTGCTAAACAACTTTACTCTGGTGACATTTCTTAACCTTCAGAGTATGAATCCTCTGATGCTTTGAGTAAAGTTCACTATTGCCTGAGACTTTAGTCTGCCTCATTTTTAGGTCCCGTCTCCAAGTTTCATGCCACCATGAGTGGTAAGCAGTCAGTAACTGTGTTTCTGTTTCTAATATTTAGGACTCTGAGATTGAAACTCAGTTATCAGGCTTGGTATCATGTGCCTTCGTCTTTTGAGTCATCTTGCCAGCTCTTACATGGACATCTTAATTGCTAACTTTCCCTATGGAATTTTTTTAAATTTATTATTTTGATTTTAGATAGCTTGCTTCACATGTCAATCCCAGTTCCCTCTCCCTCCCCTCCTCCCACACACCCCCACCATCCTCCCCAGCCTCCCACCCTATCGCCACTTCCTTCCACATAGGGGATATCTAGAGTCTGTCATTTCACTCAGGGCAGGGTCCAGGCACTCCCCTAAGAGTCCAGGCTGAGAGATGGAGCCCTGGGCAGTGGATAAGTGTTTATCCCTGGCATACAAACAGACGTTGTGTGTCCATAACACAAAGAGGGATGCTCTGTTCCCTATGGAATTCTTAAGAGGTCAAAATAAAGAATATTTGTGAAATCTCTAAGGTAAAGAATTGCACCCTCCAACAGGGAATTCTGTAATAGTGTTGTAGATTCCATGAAAGAGAAAATAATCAAATCAGCTGCCTAGACCTCTCTTTCTCAGTGACCCTCATACCTCACAGCAAGTTGGCGGTCTATGTAACCACCTCTCTAGTTATCCTTCCTCTTGAAATATGCTTTGACCAGTCGGATGATAAACAAGGTGACAAGTGAAGGCTTTAAAAGTATCTTTTATTGGGATTTACCTCCTTGCTCTTGAGCATACTGTAACCATCATCAGGTCAATAAATCTGAGGAGCTGTGCAATAATGGGAGAGTTGTGACTTGTCGTGTACACTATTGAATCACTCACCAGACCCAAGAATGGCTATCCCGACCATGGACCCAACTGAGTGGATGAATGCAACTAAACTAGACCTGACCAGTCACCTCACAGAATTGTCATGAAAAAATGTATTTTACTCTGTGACTATTTAATGGTGATTGCTACACAGCATTAATTAATTAATGGGCACAATTCTAATTTGTGGCATGCTTATATTGTTTGACTAGATATGTGTTCTACTTTGTGGCTATGGTAAAGAAAAAAATTGGTAAGAGTAAAAGTAAAACAAGCAATTTGGGTAAGTTACTTAATTCTATGTAGCAAAATATTAACTTGTATTTAGAGGGAGGTTAATGTCAAACTCATTATGGCTATACACATGCACACCTTAGTTCCAAAAATTATGATGAAATATTTCTCAATGTTTGTGTTTTAATGAAACAAAAAGATCTTATAGGGGTCATTTCCTGTCATCATCCAGACATACTACCAAGTTTGTTTTATAAAATATCTTGAAATAACAGTGATTACATCTCATGCTAAATCTGTTTGGCAATGTTTGCTTTATTTAAAGCATGGATATTACAGAGTACTTCTGCACATCATTTGTTTTAATCCCCCTCTACTCATAAGACAGCCCATATAAATGCAAATATTTGTTGCTACTTATAACTATAGATACAATCTATTTACTAAAGGGCAAACATCTCTAAGAAGTATGTGGTGAGCTCACATATTTAAACATATGGTGGACTGTCATCAATCAAAAATAAATTAGATCTCTTTATCACAAAGCAAACAGAAGTCTATTTAAAATATACAGTGCTTAATGAGTTATAGACCTCATATTTGTCATTGTATTGAAGAACTCTTTCAGACAATAAATGCCAGAGTCCTTTCCTTTCAGGCAAGGCACCCTAGTCTTTTGTCTCTAGCCAAATAGCATATGCTGAGCACATGTAAGGAACATAGCTTTGAAGTCAGAAGAATACTCCTTGATTTTCAGTTCTTTAATTGACCAGCCATAATTTGTGTGATAATTAGATATTTAAAGTATGTGCAAATAAATTTTCTTATCTCCAAGTAGCAGTTATTGCATATTTACCAGCATTTGTTAGGCATCAGTCAGTGTACATGACATGGGTTGTCTCGTTATTCTCACAGAGACTCAGCAAAGTAAACTCTGATTATTCCTATTTTACATGCCAGTAGATTAGGCTTTGGTGAGTTCCACTAAATGATCTAAAATGCTAAGTTTTG